CCGGTCTCAAGAAGCATGCATCCTGAATTTGATCAAATATGACCAGATGCGTCATATCTTAAACTGATACTGACAATAATAAGAAGTAGAATTTATCTCCATGATCCTTTGAAAAAAAATGTCTTTACCATCATTAAACATGACACAAAAACAGCTGTATTTAGTTCATTTTAAACTGGTCCCTGGTTGATTAGAAGTAAAATTGATGCAAGGAAAGATGTCATGTCCAAACAGTGTCTATGATGGAAAAAAAAAACAGTTTTTTCAGTTTGCTCAATTTTTATAGGTGCTTTGATGGCTAACCAGCATTTGAACTATCCTTTCATTTTTTTTTAAACTAGAAAGTTCCTCACAACCACAATGAAAGGCAGATGAGCAATAAACTACAGGAGGGCCCTCAGGGTTGTAAAATGGAAAATTTAGCTTGCCAGCTGCTGGCTTAAAGAAATTATACCTCCCCACTAGTATTTGGCAGAGGTATTCTGAACCCTAAAAATAAAAAGTGCATTCCATTAGAAAGAGAAAGGGAGAGAGAGGTGCAGTACCTGTTTCAAGAGTTCATAACCCTTTAGAACTGCACTTCCATAACAATATCCACTCAGTTATCTCAAGTTAGTTAAACACCCATGTTAAGTGCTTCCCTAAGAAACAAAAAACAGCAGTGCCCATGTGGATTTCTGGAAGTATTAAAGACATTTTGTTTACTTTTTAGGTATTAGTGTCAATGGCTAACTTTAGCATCTACCTGAGGCACCTCATTGCTTCAGCCTCTGTGTCTTTGACTGTAGAAGGAGAAGGCTCGTCAAAGTCATATGAGAAAAGATGGAATGGGGAATGAGGAAGGTATGGCAGCTTCTCCACTGTTGGAGATACAGCTGGGGTGATGTTTGCCGAGGAACCCTGGGAACCAGATCTGGATGAGGTGCTGGTTGTGCTGGCAGGCAACTTCCGGTTGACTAACAACGAAGCAAGGACGGAGGGTTGTGGAGACAGGTAGGATGAATCAGGGAGATCGGGAGTCTCAGTGGCCGAAGGTGGTGGGCTCTTGGCTGGAGGGCTAGTGGGAAATTTCTCCTCTGCAGTGGTTGGAATGAAGTTGACTATGTATTTACAAGGCGAACATGAGCTACCAGCTTGTTCTATGCTGTCAATCACAGGAACTGTCGAAACATTGCTGAAATGGGAGATGGAAGGAAGAACAGGATACATGGGGGCAAGGTAGTGAGCGACCAAGAAATTGCTGATGAGAGCACAAAATAATATGGTTTTGACCTGTAACACATTTGAAATCAAGACCCATTCCCGTGTGCCATTGGCAGAGCTGGCACAATAAGAAGTAGCTAAATCAAACACTCTTGAATATAATTTCGAATATGCTGGAACATAAAAACACTGTGTCTACACTGTGATCAATAAAGTATATCCCAATAAAAATGCCAACAGTATTGTATAACGAAAACCACAGAAAACCTGTCAAGCCAGCTGAACATTACAAACAGGAGTAGTACAGAGATACATTTCTGTTTTGTAAAGAAAAATATAAAAGCTTTTTGCTGTGCTCAATCTTCTATTGTTTGTCTACCTGTATAAATTACACTGACCTAGGGACATCAGTTGCATCTTACTGGTGCATTATTACTAATTTTCATTAACATTTACAATATTTTTGACAAAAGAAGACTCAGTCATAACAATAGTTAGAAAAATAAAGTAAGCAACTGATTTTAGAGATTGTCTAATAGTTCATAAAGCTAATTTAATTCTAAAATAGTTGGACAAGGCTAGTTCTTCTCAGCCCCAAAACTTAAAAGTAGATAGTTACAGCCAAGATTAATAAATGACAACACATTACGCTTGTACACATGAACACAAGGCTATAACACTGATTAAAGATTGAAGAACTCAAGAGACATTTATTTTATACAACAATGCTGTTCCCCCAGTGCATGTGGTCTGGTTTAAAATAGCTACCTCTTGCCAAAATCTGAACTCTTAAAAAAATCTATTTACAGAAAACAATTTGTAAACTTGTACAAATGTAACTGGAAAGGCTCTGAGGCCAAATCTGTCAACAGTAGAGCAGCTGACATTACAATAGGGCCTCAGTGGAGACTAACGCTTTAGGAATAACCTTATTTTCACCTTAGTTCCCAGTCTCACACTGTAAGATATAAGATAGCACTGTACTGTATGTGCTGTTTGGTGGCACATACAAAATACAGTGTCTGACATAAAAAACAGCTTCACTTAATTTAATTTGCTAACTGTCACAGCAAACATGAAAGGGAAAAACAGTATTTAGTGCTGGAAGGATGGAGTGAATGGAATTATGTTTAGAAAAATGAAACAATGGAGATGCATACAGTACAAGTAAAATGAGGAGGGGAGAGGTGAGCAAAATGTGAAACCAGATATAGTGCCATTACGTTATGTACAAACTACAGGACAAATGTGACCGAACATAGCTATTACGGAATAAGGACATTCATCAGAATGTTATCTGGATTGGTTTGAAGGTAAAATACACAAGGGAAAAGGGACTGCCAGTCTGGGTGTGAGGGAGTGGGAAGGTTGGGCTAGGAATTCTTTCACAGGGACTTTTCATCCTAGTACCTGACAGTAACCTGCCTAGAGGGCTCCTCCCCCTCATCCTCAGTATTAGGCTCTGTGATAGGGTGTTCCTCTTCTTCTTCCTCCTCATATTCCTCCTCTCTGTAGCAAAAGGAGGAAGGACGAACAGAGGGGACAGGGGAGACAGAAACCATGCAAGACAGCATGAAAACAGACACCATGAAGAGACATTGAAAATAAAGACAAAACAGACAGAACAAAACCTAGAAAATGCTTAAGACAGGACTAGGCCGTAGACCCTTCAGAAAAAGCAATGACATATTTGAATAATTACACTGAAATAAATCAGAGAAAATATACATTTGAACATACTAGAATATACTGAATAAATTTCATGTGGTCAGAAATACAGGAATTGTATTGATAAAGTTTGTGCCCACTTTATCAGTATAACATAACATAACATATGGGATATCAGTATGTCTTTCTCTTGAAGGTCTTCAAAACTATCTGAACTATCTGGTTTTCAGCAGTGAAGAGCATGTTTTTCAGAAAGTTCTACCTTCAAGTATGGGTAGTTAACAGGAGACTTAAATTGACATTTAATAAAAATAATAAAACTATGTCCAAAGTTCTTTATTTGTAAGTGAAATTGCAGCAGATTCTAATCGGAGCAGCACAGAAACCTCTTTGTGCATCCTAAAAGCAGGAGAGGCTTCCTGAATAGGATATTCACCACTCTGTGGCACTGTCACATGGAAGGTATGTAATTTCCATTGGCCTGCTCCTGGAGGCTACCTAGTAAGTCCCCAAAGACATGGATAGCTGGGATCTCTAACCCTGGTCCTGGAGATCCCCAATCCAGCAAGCTTTGTATATCACCTTTAAATCACCAATTTATGTAACTATTGCATTGTGATCAATCAACAAGTGAAATTTAAATTCTATCATTTAGAGATCATTTAGGACTAAAGTCCTAAATGATCTCTAAAATGAATAGATTACTTGCTCTCTTAAATGAATAGATTACTTGCTTGTTTCATAAATAGTTAACATGTGTTGCCAACTTCTGTGACCCATAAGGCTGAATTATGGTTTTCCAGAAGACCCCCTGATGTGGATAGTTCATTTAATGTATAATGGTTTCACTAATTATATAATTGGGTAGTGACTTAGAGTGCACATTCTCGCATGAGTTTTATCAGTGGAGTTTCTTTTGGGTAGCATGACATGGGGATCTTTGTACATGAAAAATCAATTTCAACACAGATACAATACAAATGTATAGGCCTTTACTCACACTTTGCTCAAAACAAATATTCCTGGGGATGGTCTAGCCAGATGTTATCACTGTACCAACACAAAACCCACTCTTGAGCCTTACCAACACAAACCTAATGTACCCCTGAAAATAACCACCTCTTTGTTTCCCTTGTGACACACACTTACAGTACAGTATGTATGCAAACAAAACCCATGTGAGAATGTGCACGTCAATTCACTACCCAATTATATAATTAGGGAAACCATTACACACCACTTGAACAATCTACATGTCTTTAAGGCTCCTACTGGCAGGCCCATGGAAATTACAAACCTTCCACATTGGACAAACAGCTACAACATGTAATACAGCAATGTAATATTAATTGACACCTGAAGAAGGCTCCACGGCCGAAACCTTGTGTTTTGTTTCTTCTCTTTTCAGTATGGAATAAACATATTACTTGTTCCAATGTTATATTAATGTTCATAGTATGTCAACTGTAACTCTACTTCCAATCTGATAACATTTAAAGAAAGAAAAAGATATGATAGACAATTGAGCAGATACAAGTACACCTTGTACTATAAATGCATGCACAAACTGTATACAGTACATGTATAATATGATGGGGAAGACAGACGAGGGGATTGTTGGAGGCTCAAATGCAACTACAAATGTCTCCATCTCCACACTTACATCGTGATTCTGCAGTTAGTTCATATTTCAGTGATTCTGATTTTGAACGATAAAGATAGAATTTTACATTGTGACCGCCATGGGTCAAACCAGATGCAGGCAGGCTCCCTTCATCCAGCTCTTTCACTCGGCCAATGCCACTAATAAGTGTCTATGAGATTTTGTCAGAAGGTCTGCTCCATACCAGGAGCCATTTTAATGACAAGTTAGCAGTTTACTGTGGTGATTTCCACAGCAATCTCACACACAAATCTCACCAGTTTCACAAATCATTCTGACAGCTTTGACTGATCCCCACAGCTATAGCATTTGCCATTTCTCCCCCAAAGCAGATGGCATGTCCCAGTTCCTGACCAATTTCAGATGACAGAATATGATTAACTTTATTTTTTATAATTTAACAACTTCGAAAAAATCTTAGCATCACGGGGCATGGTTTTTTAAATGTGTTTATGCCATAACCCTAGAAGGGTATTCAAAAGAAAGGAAAATAAAAATTTGATTAATACCAGAGACATGGTTCAATAAAGTATGTTGAAAAGGAAAATCAAAACCTAGTCTCAATGAAAACATCTTTGAAAAGAATAAAGAATTTCACTGAGTCCATCTATTATTCTGAAAAATGCAATCATACAAGCATTTGAATACTTGAACATCCATTTAAATTTAATGTACAAAAGACTGCATATTAAAATGAGGTATGCAGAATGTATAAGGAATATTATGTTATGCATAGGAATGTATTTTTTTATTAGTAACTAGTTCCTGTAGCATATGTCAAAACACC